GGAAAGAGGAAGTTCTTGCTTTTACGCAAGAACATCTGTCACAGAATTATAGCACAGCTCCTATTCAATGTAAAAAAAAAAACAAAAACCACTTACGTACTATTTAAAAAACATCATGCACGTTTGAAATATATTTTTAAAAATTAAGAATATCATTTACTGAAAACATATCAAATGTCAATAAAATAGTGCCCTCCTACCTTGCAAAAACACTGGAGATTCTTCTCCTTCAGAGCCATTGTGAGAAGAGTGCCTTCCAAATCAATGAGTAAATACAACACACCACCTTCTTCTGCAATCTGCTTGGAATTTATTTGCTTCAACCACAGCAGTATTGCTTCCAATGCAAGCAAACGTACTTCATGAAACTCACAGTGAAGGAGATGAACTATTGACAATGATGGCTTGGCTATTTTCTTTGCAACAGGTGAACTGCTGCTCTGGATGTCAGGACCTGCAGTCACCGACAGTACTGATATTACAAGTTTCGTGATGCTCTGAAGATACTGTATCAGTCCTGGTATTGCAGATGAGTAGGGAATACCGGACACCAATTCAGAATCTGAAATAACTCTGTTCATCTCTTCCCAAAATCCAAACAATTGCATTCCTGAAATGAGAATAAAAATAAGTGACAAATAGATGATGTTACCATCTGCTCCAGACCATGAAGTGATTCTGAAGTTGAAAAACATCATGTATGCAAAAGGTATCACAAGGTAAATTCAGGCATGAAATGAAAACATAGTTCTCCTTCATTTTAAACTGATGCTGAATTATTAAACAGTTTTCCTAGATATCACATGTATTCGTATTTAAATAAAGAAATAAGGACACAAACTTTTCTGAAAAATATAAATTGTTCAACACATGGGATGAAAGCTTCAAACAACTTAAAAAATGCTACAATACTTTGCAGATTGCCTGTCATCTTTGCCAATTATAGCTGTTTGATAAGTATTTCCTTAAATCAAGCTCCTAATACAGTCTTGCAAATTGTACATGCTTGCACTACCATTGTAGAAAGTGATTAACACAAATAAACTGTATTAAATGTATTTGGGAGAAAAAAATGTAGGTAGTTTGGAAACCTCAAAAAGCACCAAATACAAATATGCAATCATATTATACTTGATAGAATAGCTCTAAAATCAGAGATCAGACTGGAGAAAGTGCTGTCAGCCTACCCTGCAACTGAAATCAGGAGAAACAATGACAGGGCCATTCTGATAATACTGAAAATCCCACGCTTTGCATAGCTTTAGTCAGAAATGGTTACTATTAAGAAGATGCCCCTTCTACATAAATAGATCTGTCCTAAAGAATTTACTGAGTAAAAAAATCAAGTATGCTTTTCCTATGCCTATTAACTTTGAACAGTTAACACAGCTAAAAAAAAAAGGAGCTGCACTGACATGTCGTGACAGCACAGGAACTGTGACATTTCAGTCATTTACAGTGGTGCAACCTGCCCACATGGCACAGCACAGCCTGAGAACCTTCTGTAGTGCATGGCCATCTCCCACAGTGAACTAAAAGGTCCCTGCTATCTGTGATGCCAGAGGGTTTCAGGCTCTAGCAAAGCTGGCAACGTTGACACAAAATGAAAGAAAAAAAAAAAAATCAATAGTCCTCACACACACGTAAGACTGAAATCCCCACATGCTGCCTTGTCCATCATCAACAGCAATAAACACTTTTATAATATCAAACTCAAGATTCTTCCCCAGTTCAGATGTTTGTATAGCTTGTACTGCAAGGAAATTAATATGTTATATCCCACAGAATTCAAATACAAGCATGAAGAAGTACAGAAAAGAACAACGCTGCCACTGGTGTTGAGGGATGTTAGAAGTTTGGAGTTTCTAAAATATCAACATGCATTAAAGGTAAATACAAAGATTAAAGCAAACTTACTTAGATTTCTTCAGTATCTACAAGGAGACAAGTCATTTCCATATAAGTTTGCTATTTATAATTAAGCGCTGAGTACTACCAAAAAGCCTGTCCAAGTATTACCATTGAACTGCTGAATCTGACATGAAGCTGCAACACAAATATGGATTCGTTTTATTGCCCATGAAGACATTTCCCTAATCCTTCTATTTACAGTTAAATATCCTGCCCTTTCATATTCAAATTCTTCCGAAGCCACCTTTATTTGTTTGACATTTACATAGAAACTTGACATGGTTGTACACTGTCTAGCATATAAGGCAGAAGCATTTTCTAAGTAATTCTGGACAAGCTTCAAAGAAATTTGGTATTTGAAAAGATTTTCAGACATACTACCTAACCATTAGTTCTGTCATTCACGTTTTCACTACAGTTTCTTTTCTGAACAGGCTTGACGTAGTCAAAGAAACCGCAATATCACTGTGAACCCGTGTCACAGCATAATCCTCTAGATGACACAGGTGGCTTCCATCTCGTAACATGCAAACTTGTGTATTTTATTTCCTACATTTTCTAAAGCCCCCCCAAACACACTGGCATTACATACTGGCATCATAGCATAAACTAGCATTAATGCCTATGTCCAACTGCCAGAATTCCTTAATTTCTGAACTGTTTGGTTGCCTTGGAGAAGGATTAGGCCTTCATCCCAGTTATTACAGAGCCTGACTCCACAGACACCGGTTTAAAAACAGAAATAATCCCAGGCAGTTGAAAGAAAAAGGTTCAAGTTCAAGCGCCTTGATTCGAGAAGAGAAACAGCTTCAGTTTTGGAGCCCTGCACCCTCTCAGCTTCCTGTGTGCTTCCCTCCTCAGCTGCATTTCAGCAATACACAAGTCCGCTAGCTCAGTTGTTCAAACTAAGTATGTATTTCTAAGTACATTGCAAGAGAAGGGCTTTTATTTCCTATCAACATTGCTTTACATTGAGGTATAGCTGTCACACGTGCAAGCAGTAACATGAAAACCAACAGGATGGAAGGGTCAAAGCTCTAAGGCAAGGCAAGGGAGAGCAGTATTAGGTGGACAAAAAGAGATAAATATGAGGGGAAGAGGGGGAGGGTGTCTTTCATTTTGCTGGTGTCAACACTGCCAACTTTGCTAGAGCCTGCAACCTAACATCAGAGAGAGTGGTGACCCTTCTGTTGACTCCAGGAGCTGGCCACGCACCGAGCTTCAGATCCGGTACAGTAAACCTTCATTTGAATTTTGCAAGGCCAGCATAACTTCACTCTGTGTCTTCACCTTTGAAGGGGAAAATCATTTTTGTATAAAAAACATGGCAGAGCTACTCACTCCTAGAACTACTAATTTGCAGAGACTGCGATGCGAGAGTCTTCTGCCACAGATCCTCTTTTTCTGTACGTATCGGATACTTTTTCTGGTTTGGAAGACTTCTGGATGACTTCTGTTTTTCCCATGTGATTGTGAAAGACTGGACACCATGGCTCATGTATTTTACAGAAAGTCTCTTTAAAACTGGATGTCTCAACAGCAAGGCTGTCAGCAAAATAAGACTGTCTGCATATTTGGCTTAGCCTCAGCACACCATAGAGCAAATCCTTCTGCATTCATCTTCTGCTCCACATGCTCTCCAACACTCTTTTTTCACACAAATATGTACCAGAAGGAAAGCAAGCCCCTATCTTATTACAATGCAGTGGAAATATTCCTGCTATCAACTTCATCACTAAGAAATCTTTCCTGCCTTTCATGTAAACATTTTCTCTTCTGCTTAACTTTAAGTAAACTCTTTTCTTTGGCTTACATCAAAATATCCGACTAAACGAAAAAACCACACTGGTTCCCAAAGTAAATGTCTGTCTCTGTTGTTAAGATACAGTAAAGACATACTTTTATTTACAAACAAAAATCATTGTACAGTTTGAACGACCAGCTGCTGTGAGGGAAGAACAAATTTTGGCTGACCAAACAAGGATCCTGGCAAGCAGCGGTCTTGTCCAGGATGCTGATAGATGCAAAAGAGCCCCCAAGAATTAAGTGGACTTCTTTTTTTTTTAAAGGATTTCCTCATTTGTGGGACAGGAGGAACTTTGGCTCTCTTCTAGGAAGGGACACATCTTACAGAACAACTTGGTTCTCCTCAACACAGTGCACGAACATCCCATAGTCCTCCTCAATCCCTTTATGTCCACTACATTAAGATATGCGTATAACGTCTATGTCACATCATCTAGGTTTGAGGGTTGTTTTTTTAATCCTATTTGTGATCAACTGATGTTCACAGTCAGTTATATAAATGACCTTTCATCATCTGAAAATAAAGAGGAAAGGAAGAGGAGCAGACCTGATGAATCTCTAGCTACAAACCTCCTCAAAGTTTAGCCAGCTCCAAAACCTGTGCCCTGCCTGACTGACTTCTGCTCTTCCCCGCAGTGGCATGCAGGCACTATTCTATAGTCTGTTTCCAGAATAAGTAGATACATACAGTAAGGACAGAAAAACTTCCCTGCTCAGGGATTAACAAGCTGTCAGCTGATGGACAGTTCAGCCGATCTTTCATCTCAGAGATTCTACAATATGTTCAATAGTGACAGAAGTCATCTGAATTTCTTCCATATTTAAAACCTAAACTTGTTTCATCACCTTGCCAGCTGATGCACAGGGCTGATTATATATTTCTGTTGGATTTAGGTCATTTTACAGTGGCTGTCTAGGCTACTGCCAATTGGACAACTCTCCGAATCATCAAATGTATATTCTGTGAGGGGTTATTTTTCTGTATCTGTGATTATGATACATCCAAGTATTTGCACACTTCTAGATAAACGTTGATATCAAATCCTGTATGCAGCCCCTTGAGCACCCATGCCATCTTCCTACTAGAGGCTCCAGAAAAGAAGAACAAAGAAGGGAAAAAGGGGAGAAATTATTACCAACATCAGAAAACTTAATGACACTCTGCAAAGTCAGACAAAAATTACAAAAGCAGCAACGAAATGCTGCTGTGTCTGCAGTACAATGCTATCAAAAATCTGGATATTCATCATCATTCACCAAGACCTGCAAGAAGTTGCAATTATTTATGGACTGAAAAGAGGTTAAAATCCCTTGCACTCACAAACTACCATCTAGCTTTTGGAAGAGATCATATGAATAGAGAGAAGGCTGAAAGGTAATCAGTGCCAAGAAGAGATTTTCCTAGACAAACATTAAGGAAAAGTATTTTCTTTCATTTTTTCCCTTTTTATTACACGTGGATTAGGCGAAGTCACTGTTAAACAGAAAAAAACCAAAGAGAACAGAAAAGTGTATTTTATTACAATGCAGAACTAAGATAACTGTTGATGATCAGGAAAAGGGCACATTTTGAGCAGGAAAGACATCTGCAACATCTTCGACATCAGAGACTAAGCATCAGTACTCACAATACAATTCAAAACTACAAACACAAGAGATTAACAGAATCCATGGATAATATATTGTTGAGGAGAGAAGCATCCTATTGCATTTTGTGTAGTATAAGGGAAAGTTTTCAAAGGAAAAAAAAAAGGAAAAGAAAAAAGCATTTGATCTGGACACTGAGGCTATTTTTCTTACAGCTTCTCTCTGGCACAGCACCGAGTTTTCCACTTTTTTTTGCATTCATAGAAAACCATAAAACCCCATGGAGACAGTGCAAGTCAGTCAGTG